TTACAAACTACATACACATATTCAAATGATATACAAATGGAGTTTGGTGTAGACAAATGCAAAACACTACACCCTGAAAAAAGAGATCTGAAGGAAGGAGACTTCATACTCAAAAGTGGAGATATTATGGAATCCATGGAAAAGGGTGAGTTTTACAAATATTTAGAATTCCAACATGCCAAACTTACATAACATGCAAAGATAAAACAAAGGTTAACACTCAAATACCAGAACAGATTAAAAGCAGTACTAAGAACACACCTAAATGCTAAACATACTATTAAAGTTATTAATACATATGTTGTCCCTGTATTCACTTATTCTTTTGGAGTTATACACTGGATATGCACAGATCTCAAGAAACCGCAAAGGAAAACAAGAACAACACATAAAGCATAAACAATAACCCCCAAAATCATCTGTAGAAAGACTAACTCTTCCTTGTAAAGAAGGTGGCCATGAACTGACTAATATAGTTAACCTGCACTACAAACAAATTCTGATAGCGTGGAAGTTTTCCACAAAATACAAGAAACATCAAGATTATATAAAGCTATAATACTGGCAAACAGTAACTACACACCTTTAAACTTACACTCTGAGCACTTGGACATATCTCAATGTATAGACAACATTAAGCAGTCATGGGTCCAAAAGGCACTTCATGGCAGGCATGCCTATGACCTTGCTCAGGACTATGTTGACAAAATTGCATCAAACTATTGGCTGATTATGGACTGTCTGGAGGAGTTTATGATTGCCATACAAGATCAGATTATAAACACTAAAAACTACAGAGAACACATCCTGAAGGATACATCACTAACAAATGACCCTTTGCAGAAAATGCCACATTCTGCCAGAAACAATACAACATATAACTTCTGGTACTTCTTAGCACAAAAAGACTATTTACATAGGCTTAATCAAATAGCAAATATAATAAACCAAGAGCTTGCATGTTAAAAACACAGATTATTAAACACTCATTATTAAACATCCAGGTACCATACTACAAATATACTCCACGGGCAGTGTTAGAAAATAACCAGGGCTGTGGAGTCGCGTAAAAATCTACCGACTCCAACTCTGAATTTTCCTTACCATTTGACTCCGACTCCGACTCCAACTCCATTTCATATACATAACAAGTTGGTAAGTAAAAGGGGAGTCAGAGTTGGCGGATTTTTTGACGACTCCGACTCCGGCTAAAACGCCAAAACTCCACAACTCCGACTCCGATTCCACAGCCCTGAAAATAACACACAAAATATGCTATGACAGAGCACATAAAGCATAGTCACACAAAACAATTCATCACAATAGACCTGACATCACTCTCAATGACAAATGCAGTAAGATCATTTATATAATAGACAACAATCAACAAGTACACTCCACTTGTTCAAGAAATAAGACAGATGTGGAGGATGGATAAGGTATTTATTATACCTGTTATCCTCTCTTCTACTGGTGTTATACCATATACACTACACAAAAGTCTAAACTTTAATAAAAACATATAAATACTGTAGCACTACAAAAATATAAGCTGCAATATTGAACATATATTCACATTGTGAGGAAGTTTCTAGATACATACACCAATAACACAGCTTAATGTTACATTTGTTTGGATAGCTATGCCTTGACTTTAGTCCAACATAGCACTTGGCATCAGTATCATCTGAGCATGACATTCACAACATAATAATAACAACAAGCAATTATTGTGACATAATCACAATGCTGGACTGCAATTTTTAATCATATTTTTTTAATTTATTTAATTTAAAATATATGCTCTCCACCTCAAATTAGTAGTGGCTTGCCCCTGTACATCATACTTTTCTTGTTACANCAAGTATGCTTTTATTTATTATTTTATTTGTAATTTTATTTAGATTTTATATTTTTTTATGGAATTTAATTATCTTTTAAAACCTTTGAGTTATTTAATAAGTTTGCATAAACAAACATGGTTTGTATAATTGAAACAAAAGAAAGCAACCAATCATACACTAATTCACAATGGCCACAATGTATGAATGTTTCTCTGGTGGGAACTTAGTAGAGTATATAAGGGAGAGATAGTCAAATGCTGGGAATCTTTTCAATATAGTATGGGGTTCTAAGTAAAATGAAAGGCAAATTTTTGAACCATCTTATAAAACTGGTTACACTTAATAACTAAAGGCAAAACAAATAGGCAAAAACATTAGCTGTTGTACATTTTTGTGCTGGATATTGGTTTGTTTTGCCTTTATTTATTTGGCAAATTTTAGTTTGAGCAAAAGTATTACATTGTTGTCTCCACCTTGAACGATTATTATCTAGACCAGTGGTACCCAAACTTTAGTCCTTATGCCAAATCCAACCCACAGCATATGTTAATCCAGCCTGCAAATGTAAACATATTTGATAGATCACTTATAAATGGTAGAAGTAGGCCTATTTTTAGTGTATATGGAATATACAAAATATTTGTGGCCCTTTTTTGTTTTCATATATCTGTGTAGACCTTGTTTATAAATAGGACATATTATACTGGTATAGTTTTGAATTAGCAAAGGAAGGAAGTCTTAGTCAAAAAATAAAACAAAAGTATCTTTATTTTCACTTGTAAAAATAAAGATACTTTTGTTTTATTTCTTTGACTTTTGTTAATTCCTCCATTTGCTAATTCAAAACTACACCAATATAGTAAGTCTTATTTATAAACAAGGTCTATGTGGACAATATAAAAACAAAATTGAAATATTAAGGACATAAAGGCAAAGAATTAATATTTGTGGACTATGATGTATGCACAATTTCACCCACCAATTGAAAGTTTGGGCACCACTGATCTTGACAGATATTGTATAGGATAGATTTCAGCCTACACTGACACACACAAAAACACCTTACTTACTAACTTTTAATCTGAATTACAAACATTTTCAACCTCAGAGATAAAAAATGTTTGTAATTCAGAACAAAAGTTGCTAGAGGAAGTAAGGAAGATGTTTTTTGTATATGTCAGTGTCTATTGAAAACTTCCAGTATATTAATTAGCTATAGGTTTCAGCCATTCTACAATTAAAAAAATAGTCATGAGACATAAAACTACAGAGAGTATCACTCATAAATAGTGGTCTCATCACTCCAGGTTCACCAGCAATGGATGATAAAATTCTGAAGGATAACTTTGTCAAAAACCAGGAAGAGACCCTGAAATGGAATATTATAAAATGATCAGTATTATATTTTAATTTTCGTGTATTAAATTTTTGATGTCTGAATTCTGATTCCATAAAGTTTATTTGTTAAAGTTAAAAATTAACTGATCATTTCTATAGTATTTGCTTATTTTTTTTCCAAAAAAGGAGGGACCAGAAATAAAATCTTTGCACAGATGATATGAAAAGCTAGTTACATCCCTGAATACAGTACACTGCACATTTCTCAAGTCAGATTACTTGAGTTTAAACTGAAAAAAACAAAATAAAAAATTGCTGTTGGAAGTTAAGAAAACTGAAGGTTAGTCTGCATGAAACATCACCATTGATCTCTCCAGCAATGGGAAAAAGTACTTTTCAGTGACAACTCAACCATCTCAATTGCAGCCAATTTTGGGTCTGTCTGTGTCAGAAGGTACCTGGGAAGTAATTCAACTCAGGTGCACAGTCCCTACAATATAGTACCCATCAGTAATGTTATGGTCTTGTATGGCTGCAAATGGCATTAGAAAGCTGCACATTATTTAAGGGATGATGAATGTCCTGAAATACTGCAAAGTACTGAACAAGGAAGTGTGATTAAGTGCTCAAGATTTGTTTCCTGATGGAGATTTTGTCTTAGTGGATGACAATGTTTCCTACCATCAGTCAAAATCATTACGTGGTGGTTCCAGAAGGAAGGTATCCATTAATTAAACAAATTAAATACTTTACATACCATACATACAATTAAGACTTTTATGTTAAAGTATCCATCAATTGGATTGGCTTGTCCAATTCCCAAATTTAAACCGTATTAAGAATTTATGGCATAAATGTCCATTGACATTCTTTTGGGTATGTCAATGTAATGGGGTAACATCCCACTAACAAAAGGGAACTGACCATTAAATGATTTCAGTTGAATGTCTCAAAAGACTCGTTCACTCCATACCTGAAAATAAAGTCTGCTCATCAAGAAAAGGATAAATAATTCAATATTAATAATTCTGAAAATCTAAAAATAATTAAAAATCAATTATAAGGAAACATTACCATAAAATAAAATAAGTGGAGTTTTAATTTCCTTTCAAATTTCAAACAAAATGGTATATAATATTGTTAAAACTACAAACCAATGCTATGTCTTCGGGCTAGATAAAGGCTGTTATCTAGCTTGAAGACACAGCATTGGTTGTAGTTTTATAATGTATTGGATTTTAGTGTTGTTGTTTGTTTATAATAATGTTGCCAAATTTAGATTTTTCTAACTGAAATTGGTTTAAACATAAGAAAAACTTCAAAATCTAACATGATATAAGATTTGAACAGCACTGTATAATTATAATATAGAGATACTTTCATAGTAATTTGAACAGAGAACAACTTTCACTAACAATTTTAGAAAATTTGTTAATATTTTTCTAATATTGATGGTTAAATTCTTCTGCATTTGAATTACTTTGAAGGTGGTTACATGATAAATAGTTATGGTACTTCTTCCTCAGGAAATTTTTAAAATATTTTATATTTACTGGAATTTGTACTGAAAATAACTTCACAGATAACAATCTTCATTGCTTTAATTATTATTATAAGTTTTAATTTCCTTTCAAAAAATCCTATATTCACACATTTTTTATGAATGTTTGACTGATTTCTAATAAAATAAAGAAAGTATTTTATTTCTTATAAGTAACAATAAAAATGACAATTGTTAACTTTATCTTTTTTATTCTTTTGCTTCTTTCTAGTTTACTCTCTCAGCACTGGATTTATTTTATTTCATTTTATTTATTCTATAGGAGAGAGAATATCTTAAGCAAGTGTTTGATATCATCTCAATAATAATAGCAACAGTAACTGCAAATATGAATATGCTGTCATTAGTTTTCATATCTTTTTTGTTTTTACTTGAATTCTGGTATTGCAATGGAAATGATCATTGTATTAAAGAAGAGAAAAGTGATTGTGGTTGTTCATTACCTTCTCGAAAAAAAGACACAGATAATGTTTTAGATGATGTTCAAACTTCAAACAATGTGAATTTTGAAGAGATGAGTTTTATTAAAGGTGGAACATTTCAAATGGGGACAAATAAACCTGTTTTTATTGCTGATGGAGAAGGACCTGCTCGAAATGTTACATTGACTGATTTTTATATTGATCGACATGAAGTTTCTAATCGTGATTTTGAAATATTTGTACAGACTACAGGCTATATTACTGAGGTAATCTATTAAGAAATTGCTTTATGGTCAAATGAAATCAGTATAATTAATTTACTCAATTTATATAAATGTCAATGACATGATTTTTAGAATTTAAAAACAAAATTAATTTTATTACAAATCTTAAATATCTGTAATATTTAATATAAACTTTTTTGTACATACCATTGAAAAATGTCAAAAAAGTCTTATAATACAAATTTATTGTTATGCTTAATTGAGATTAAATAAATTGTACTGAAATTTATATTACAATATTCAAAATAATTTAATTGTTTATAACTTTAATTTAATTACCAATAGTTATTTTAATAATAATAATATAATTTTTTTAAACTAATTTATTTTAAGCTATCCAATAACAGCTATAAGTATTGTATAAATACAGTTATTAATAGTAGATAACAGTGGCGTGCCATGACATTTGATGATAGGGAAGCTGTGTTCCTGTAAGAAGCCAACTTCCAGGGGCAATCAGTCAGTGATGGTCTAGGGCAGGCATGGCCAACATACGGCCCACAGGCCAGATCTGGTCCGTTTAATGAATTTATGTGGCTCACGATCAATCTTTCAAATAGCTCGATGAAAAATTCTGACACTTAAAAAAAAGTCAACAACAACTCACCATGTGTTTAGAGTTAACTCTCCATTACAAATCTTGCACAGCATAGAATGTTGATAAAGCATGATAATGTGAAAAATGTGTCTGTAATCTCTCTCTACAATTCAGTCTCTACGGGGTGACACCACAATGAGATCTCGCACCACCTCAAAATCTTCCTAGGGCAACCTCTGGTTCGGCCTGTGGAAAAAGTTTTCTTTCCAATCCAGCCTGGGGGCAAAAACTGTTGGCCATCCCTGGTCTAGGGTCCCATTTGTATTCGTTTGTTCGATAAGCCAGTAAAAACTGTAGACTTCTCTAAATGTATTTTTAATTAATAGATTATCTAATGCACTTAATAAATAAGCAAGTTCAATATAATTAATTCTGTTATATTAGATTTAATAGATTCTCTATGTCCTCTAAATGATAATTCTTGCTTTGATAACATCTACTAATTAAAATAGAATATATCTATTAGCCATAACTATCTTGTTATAATTTTCAATATTTATTTTATGTTGTATACTAATTTAAATTCTATTCCATTTTGATTTCCAAATTGCTTCAATTTTACGAAAGAATCGATGTGAGATTTACGATTTTCATGTTTTTTGCCAGCTTTACTCAAATTATTTAAATTGTCAAAGCCATTCTTATTCCACACACTAATTTTATTTGAAAATAGTAGGCAAGGCCAACAGAACAATTTTTGCATTTTTATGCATCCACAAAGCCATTTTATGTCTTCATAAATTTTATTGTGAAAATGTCGAACAAATTTTTTTGTTGACGTATTTATATTTAATTTAGGCATTAGTCTTTCTCTTTTAATAATGTTTTCTTTTTCATTATATGGTCTTGAGCCAAAACTTTTTAAAAATAAATTTTCAGTATCGCAATTACATTCTAAATCACTAGCCATAACATAAGGGCTAAAATTAAAAATAAAATTATAAAAACTTACTTGTTAAAATAAAACGTGTGACGGATATACAATTATACATACCTGGTACAAAATATTCAATTGTATGAATATACTTTTAAAGAAAATTATAATTAAATATAGCTTTGTAATGAAACGTACATAAAAATAACATAAAATATTCTTTACTCTTTAAATCTTAACCACTTAGTCAAATAGCTCCCTACGAGTGGAATCAGAGACGGTCCTGCTAGGTGTGCGGTGTGTACATGCACACGGGCTGCCAAATCCCGAGGGTGCTGATACTGATCAATGTCAAATGCCTCTTTTGTCGCATCACTAGTATATCTCAAAGGACGCGACAGGGTTGTTGTAAATTTTAAACGTTTCTCACCATAGCTGTAAAAATCTAAATATGTTAAACTTAATAGATTGTCCGTCTTTTGTTTTCTAACTAATTCGTTTTAGGACCAGGTGTTGTCCACGGAAATTTCCAAAATTTACAACTTTTCGGTCACTCTCGTCGAACTGGAAAAATTTCTGTCTTTATTACATCTAATACAGTATTTCGAAGAAATCAGTCCCCACTGTACTCGGCTATAGATTGGTTCGGTTAAGCTTTTGTTTAAGTAATATTCCGGCTCTTTCATCAGGGTTTTGTTTATGTCCCCAATTCCCTAATCGCTTAATTATTTAACTACTTCTTAAGTAGAAATAAGTCGAAACCGGTTACTTTGTACTCGAATATTTGTAGTCTCGGGAAAAAGTGGAAAGACAAATTTTTATGACAACGGATACATAAATCATAAATTTAAGAAATATAAATTCTAGATCTTTTTCTGTACCTCGTGCATCTCTCTCATTCATTAAATTTAGTTGTAAATGATGCTACCAAAGTAACGATTAATTTTTTAACATTATACAAGAATTGTACACGCTTTTTTCTACATCCCTTATAGATGGGACATACGAAATCGTAATATCACTGGTTTAACATTGAAATCCGTGAGTAATATAAAATCAGAGAACAGAATAAAAATACCAAATATTTTAATGGATTTTTTTAAACTCCTGTCAATCATACAGAACTATCATAAAAACATACCAGTAAATTCTTATCGGTTGGGTTAAGTTATAAATTTACTCATGATTCATGTAATCAGGTGAGGGCAGCCAAATATCTAGCGGGCAGGCGGCTAACAGCCGAGAACTGGTCCTGGATAGAATTGGATGCGGTATGCGTGTAGCATCCACCCAAGGTCTTAGGCTTCCACCAGCTAAACCAGGTGAGGTTGGTGCTCTGTAAAGCGCATGTGTGAGTCTGGCTTTTTGGATGCTGACAATACAGCGCTTCCACTCCGTCACTAATATTCGAATATACAATAGCAATCTTATCTTTTTTTTCACGTGTAGTCTAGAAATTTGTAATAAGATACATAATGCGGTTATAATAAAATATTGTATGATTATTTTCATATAATTAAAATTAATATGTATTTATTTTTTAGAAAATACAAGGAAAGTGGCGCATCCACCGCTTCCAATGACGGCACACCACTGGTAGATAAAAAGAAATACTACTAGCTTTAGGAAACCAAAACTATTTATTTCAAAATATATTTGGCCTCACTTTGAGTCGTCTTCAGTATCACATGTAGAATAAAATAATATAAAACATTTAAAAAAATCCAAAATCCTGCAAAACTGTTGTAACAAAAGTTTAAATGACAACATACCCTTAACATAAAGCAATAAAAATATGTAATAATTGTTGGTGGTGATAAAGATAATAATGATCATGAAGAGATAATGAAACAATTGAAGGAAATATAGACTCTGATGTTCTTATTATTTGCTTACTTTAATAATAAGTTTCTAGATATTGACACAGATACAAATAACACAGCTTAGTGCTACACTTATTTGGGTAACTATGTCTTGACTTTAATCCAGCACTGTTATCAGCTAAGCAAGACATTCACAATGTAATAACTCTTGCCAGTCATCACCTTGCTGTGGTGAGAGAGTTCGGTAATTCTGATGAACCATAGAGCTATGCTGGCTAGAGCATCTGCTCCTAGTAGGGCCACCCATGTCAGTGAGATCTTAACATGGTTTTTTTGTGTTGAAATAAATACATAAGACATTCATTGCACAATACAGAAAGCACACAACTGGACAACAACTGAAAAAATTCACATCCCTGCAACAGAAACTAGCTAAACATTTAACACATATCAATAATCCACAAGACATGCCAAATTTTCTCATGCAGAGCATCACCCACACGAAACCAAACAACAACAACACCAAAGACCCTTCACAGTACAGATCAATTACATATCTTCCAACACTTTACAAAATTCTTACATCTTGAATTGCAAACAAACTATATAATCATATTGATGAACCCGACATTCATACAAAACAACAAAAAGGCTGCCGTAGAAATCATAAAGGTTGCAAAGAACAACTACTCTTTGACTCTGTTATTCTACAGCAAGTTCATAAGCAACACAGAAACATACATGTGGCATACATTGATTACAGAAAAGCATTCAACAATGTCCCACATGCTTGGCTGCTGCACAAACTTTGCATCTATAACCAACTCTAGTTTCTTTTTGCTTTTACCATGCTCCACTGAAAATAACATTACATCTTAACCTCCATAACACTCATATAAAAACAAATCAAATACACATCAAATGAGGAATTTTTTAAGGAAATTCCTTTTTGGTTCTGCCTTGCACTTAATCCTTTATCTAACACATTGAACAAAACACAATATGGCTACAATATTAGACATAACAAAACAATACTGTTCACATTATCACACCTCATGTACATGGATGATATCAAACTTTACATATCCACACAGAATCAGCTTCATCATCTCTTACAAACTACATACACATATTCAAATGATATACAAATGGAGTTTGGTGTAGACAAATGCAAAACACTACACCCTGAAAAAAGAGATCTGAAGGAAGGAGACTTCATACTCAAAAGTGGAGATATTATGGAATCCATGGAAAAGGGTGAGTTTTACAAATATTTAGAATTCCAACATGCCAAACTTACATAACATGCAAAGATAAAACAAAGGTTAACACTCAAATACCAGAACAGATTAAAAGCAGTACTAAGAACACACCTAAATGCTAAACATACTATTAAAGTTATTAATACATATGTTGTCCCTGTATTCACTTATTCTTTTGGAGTTATACACTGGATATGCACAGATCTCAAGAAACCGCAAAGGAAAACAAGAACAACACATAAAGCATAAACAATAACCCCCAAAATCATCTGTAGAAAGACTAACTCTTCCTTGTAAAGAAGGTGGCCATGAACTGACTAATATAGTTAACCTGCACTACAAACAAATTCTGATAGCGTGGAAGTTTTCCACAAAATACAAGAAACATCAAGATTATATAAAGCTATAATACTGGCAAACAGTAACTACACACCTTTAAACTTACACTCTGAGCACTTGGACATATCTCAATGTATAGACAACATTAAGTAGTCATGGGTCCAAAAGGCACTTCATGGCAGGCATGCCTATGACCTTGCTCAGGACTATGTTGACAAAATTGCATCAAACTATTGGCTGATTATGGACTGTCTGGAGGAGTTTATGATTGCCATACAAGATCAGATTATAAACACTAAAAACTACAGAGAACACATCCTGAAGGATACATCACTAACAAATGACCCTTTGCAGAAAATGCCACATTCTGCCAGAAACAATACAACATATAACTTCTGGTACTTCTTAGCACAAAAAGACTATTTACATAGGCTTAATCAAATAGCAAATATAATAAACCAAGAGCTTGCATGTTAAAAACACAGATTATTAAACACTCATTATTAAACATCCAGGTACCATACTACAAATATACTCCACGGGCAGTGTTAGAAAATAACCAGGGCTGTGGAGTCGCGTAAAAATCTACCGACTCCAACTCTGAATTTTCCTTACCATTTGACTCCGACTCCGACTCCAACTCCATTTCATATACATAACAAGTTGGTAAGTAAAAGGGGAGTCAGAGTTGGCGGATTTTTTGACGACTCCGACTCCGGCTAAAACGCCAAAACTCCACAACTCCGACTCCGATTCCACAGCCCTGAAAATAACACACAAAATATGCTATGACAGAGCACATAAAGCATAGTCACACAAAACAATTCATCACAATAGACCTGACATCACTCTCAATGACAAATGCAGTAAGATCATTTATATAATAGACAACAATCAACAAGTACACTCCACTTGTTCAAGAAATAAGACAGATGTGGAGGATGGATAAGGTATTTATTATACCTGTTATCCTCTCTTCTACTGGTGTTATACCATATACACTACACAAAAGTCTAAACTTTAATAAAAACATATAAATACTGTAGCACTACAAAAATATAAGCTGCAATATTGAACATATATTCACATTGTGAGGAAGTTTCTAGATACATACACCAATAACACAGCTTAATGTTACATTTGTTTGGATAGCTATGCCTTGACTTTAGTCCAACATAGCACTTGGCATCAGTATCATCTGAGCATGACATTCACAACATAATAATAACAACAAGCAATTATTGTGACATAATCACAATGCTGGACTGCAATTTTTAATCATATTTTTTTAATTTATTTAATTTAAAATATATGCTCTCCACCTCAAATTAGTAGTGGCTTGCCCCTGTACATCATACTTTTCTTGTTAGCAATAAAGTGTTATGGAAAAAGAATTATATGACACTAAAGCACGTATCGATATAGCAAATTGTCTATGAACTGGCAACCCGTGCAAGACTGCTCAAAAAAAGAAGAGACCTGTTTTCAGTTGTGTGCCAAGTTATGGATGTGTGAAGAAGTGCATGTATAGTCTTAGATTAGAATAAAGTTTAATTCTAAGTTAAAGGACTGACTCATCATTGTTCTAACATAAAGTCATGCCAGTCATCTAACTAACTATTTTCAGGGGAAAATTTTTGAATTCAAATAACATGACTTCTGTATTGGAAGTTCATACAGTATACACTATAATTAATCGGGGCTTCCTGCCCTTAATATTTCTATATCTGGTATTGGCTTTCATCTATCTAACTCCATTCTTGAGATTAAGGATGAACAGATGGATGATAGTGGGAATTTATAGGTTACAATTTTTTCAAATTGCAGCCCAATAAGTTATGTATTTTTATATCTTACATTCAGAATATATCTTTGTTTAAGTTTTATATTTATACAGAATTGCTCCAGAAATATGTGAAAAAAAATGTCAGTTCTTTTAAAAAATTTCAACGTTTAAAAATAAATACATTTTATTGCTCATTGCACTGATCATTAATACATATGAGCCATTTTTGTTGAACATGGTATAAGTCCATTCATAATAATCAATAATTGAAAGTATTTATAATAGCTAATGTCCTAAGAACACAACATCTTAAACAAGATAATGGTGTTATTGCTTAGATGAAGTGGTGAGAAATTTTTTTCCTCATTCTGTTTAGTTTTCTTTCACAAGCTTTAAGACCATTAAAATCATTTATATACTGCTCAAGACATATACTACTGCAATATTGAACACATGTCAATGTGATTTTTAATCATATTTTTTTAATTTATTTAATTTAAAATATATGCTCTCCACCTCAAATTAGTAGTGGCTTGCCCCTGTACATCATACTTTTCTTGTTAGCAATAAAGTGTTATGGAAAAAAAATTATATGACACTAAAGCACGTATCAAAAACACATTGCAGCTTTTTTGTGCCATGTATATGTTTTTATTAAGATTCAATATTTCTAGACATTTATGTAATCTATGTGGTATAGCACAAGTGGAAGATAGGATAACAGGTATAATAAATCATTATTCATCTTACATATCTATTATATTTCTTGAGCAAGAGTAATATAATGTAATAAAGAATTGCTAGATGAAAAATAATTTCCTGTTATATGAAATGAAATGAGAAGATTCTGTCTCAACCAAATTCCTAGAAGGAGCAATGTCAAACAGGGAAAAAAATACAGATGGAAATATTACAAATTAACTGAAGGTATGCTGGAAGAGGTTTAAAAGGAAAGAACTTTACAAAATTTTCTACAAAATTTCTATGGAAGAATATGAACAATTTAAAGTTCTTGATTTTTTTGGAAAGTGACAAAGGCTTAAAAATTTTAGCAAAATTATTATATTACCACTCTACATAATTCAAAACCTATAACAAGAGAGAAATATAATAATATGATGAGTTACTACTGCCTTACATATCTCCTATTCACCATAAATACTTCACTATGCTAAGTGTAAAGGAGAAATAAAATTGAAATATGAATAAGTTTGTTATTATTAGTCAACTTAATGGAGTATTTACAGTATTTTTCATAGTTGTTATTCATAAATTTATATATATATATATATAAAACTTAACTGAAAATATTTCTTAATAAAGTTGATTATTTGTTTACTTACATATTCTCATTTTAATTATTATTTTTTATATTTAAAATTGTTATTGTTCATTGTTGTATTGAAAATGGTATAATCCCATTTGTAACTAAAAAAATCATTTATTTTCTTTAACAATTTTTTATAATTATTATTACATAATAAAATTTAACAAGTTTATAGTTTTAAAGACATTATTTGAATTTATTAACGTTAGCCAATATTTTTTAATTGATTCAAACACAAACCCTTAAATATCTCAATGTATGAATAAATGGACTTATACCATTTTCAAAAACAATGGCTTATACATTACTTTTATTTTTGTCTTCTATTTGTCATAAAAATTCATAAAATCTATAGAATTTTATGAATTTTTAAATTACATTCATTTTTATTTATAGGCACAAAAATTTGGAAATTCATTTGTTTTGGACAACTTGATAAGTGAAGATACAAAAAAAAGAATTACACAGGCTGTAAGTAAATTCTAATTATAAATTAATATGTTTTGAGATATTTGGATTAAGTCAGTTATTGATATTTTATGTTATTTTCTAACTATTTATAAAACAAAGTATGGTTTTAATAATTCCCTGTCATTTAAAAAAATTTATCAGCCAACTACATAATATCAACAGCTCAGTTTAACTTTTCTACTTAAACTACAGTCAATACTCAAACCAAAAACAAATGCTGACTGCTTTCAGATTTTAAAGCTAAACAACTACCAGATTACATTGGGCTACTTTTTAATTACTATTACAGTATATTTAATCAATTACTAAATAATTTGTCACCAGAGGGAGGTGTTAGGTGCTATCTCTTATTAAATTAATATTAATAGCCCAACGGTTGTTTGGTTTTACAAATTTATTGGGTTTTGTGATGTTTTCTTCAGACTTTATTTATCCATCTTCCGAATCCATATCATACCATTCAAACTCCCATTCAAATACTCTTTCTTGTTTAGAACATGCAATAGAGCCCCAAATTGAATCAAGGTAAGATGGATGGACTGATGCTGCCTTGGATAACTGAAAATTTTGATAAAATTTATGGTTATGGACAATTCAGATTAAACTTTTACAAGTCACATTATATTAATAATTATATCAATAATCTTAAAAACAATTGCATCAATATTTTAATAAAACTTGAGAAATGAAGTCTAACCAGTAAATCAAAAAAGTTATGAGCTTATTTTATTTATTATTCCAATTGGGACAACAATATCTAGTATATTCTCAATAGCAATTATTTTTAGTGATTACATTAATATTAATATCCTCTATTCAAGAAAGGAAGAAGTTGTGCAGATATAATAGTGGTTTTCAATCCATAAATGGTGCACACAATCATTTATGACAGTGGGCACATTTTATAAATTTATTTTGATTACAATCTACAGCATCACAGACAAGACTGTTGCTTTGTGTAAATATGAAGCACACTTCTTTGATGTTGAGGAATTTTTTTCTATAAGTCAGAAATCCAGAATACTATGAGTAATGAATCACAAGTTTGCAAATGTCAGCACATAATTGAAAGTGTAAGAGAGATTGCAACTTGATAGCACCTTTGCATTTGTTTCAATTATCATCCTTGTGTACCCTTGTGGCATTGAGAACTACTTCCAGGCCTGTAAGAATTTCTCTGGAAAGGTGCTTGACACCAGAGAAATACAGTTTTCTGGTACAATTTTTAAAGTAATTTTTGGTGTATTCACAGCTTGACTGAAGAATTTTGTATATGAATTCCTATTTGTGTGTGTGCTTCATGAATCTATCACAAGAAGGAAACTTTACATTTGGGACTATTTATCTTTCCAAAAAGAATTCATTTAGAGACTAGCTAATTTTGCCTGATGTGCTATAAGTGACAATGAAGTTAGAAGATGAGATAACTGCAAGCAGAGATGAAAACTATCCGTCTCTGCTTGCAGTTTTGGCTCAAAGCTCCTCTCTAATGTTCTTGTATGCATAAGAAAACATTGCTAATGATATCACCAGCCCTATTAATAACATTCCACAGTGTAGCTGTGTGTTGCCAGATTTTTTGGTGATTGAGCATACTCAAAAATTGATTTTTCACTTTTGAAGGTGTAAGTCATTGTAAGCAGTATTTTGTATTGGAAACTACACTGGTCAGTATTGAATATATGGTCATTGTCAAAATTCTCTGATATGGATTTTATATAATCCTGAAAGGCCTTTGCTGCCTGCGTAATATTCTCTGCTGATTGCAGCACTATTTTGCTAACTAGCTGTGTTATTTTTCAACTACCAATGTTATAATGACTTTAAACAATGCAGCCATGTATTTTTTATGTATGAAATTTAAGTTAAAATTGCCAGTTTTTATATACTTTTGCATTGAAAAAGTTTTCAGATCTGATGTGTGCAATATTGATATTTTGAATCCCACCCTTGTTGCTATAACCTTTTGCTTGACATGACAATTAATTTGACTATTTTTTTGTGCTGTCCATTTGGAATGTGTGCACCTGATTTTTCCAATGTTAGTGTTCTCTTGTCTGGCACTTTCAGACATCCTTGATTTTTTCAGAGTTTGCCAATTTCACTTAGGATGTTAGTCTACTTTCAGCATGTTGGCTACCTTGTGATTTCATGGCACAGTAGTTCGTGACTTCTTTGATGGTGATGAACATTTAAAATCATAATCATCATCAGAAAGGGTCAATCCCTTTCCACATCAGCTAAATTATTTAAGTTATCTACTGAAGAAAGAAGTTAATAAATTAGACACAACCTTATCTTTATTTATGATAAAGGTATATTAGGGTAACTACTCTACTGTATATTGTTATGTTGTGCAACAATAACACATACCAGGTATTTCCAGTTCAAAGTCTGTTTGGGACATGATTGTTTATTATGGCTTCAAAAGTCCCAAAGAATTGGTTTGCAGATACTGTACTTCAGAAGCTTATTTTTACATATTATAAAATAGTGCAGTGGTATTTTTATACTCAAACATGGAAAGATTAGCTAATAACTATGTAATATACAGGGTGGGCCAACAAAAATGAAATGGCAGAGTTTTTGGATAGTTGGATTTGTATTTAAGTGAATCGCTCGGACAGGTCAATTTTAATCTTGAGGGGAACATGTCAGAAATCATGCAAAGAAAAAAATTTAATCATAAAATTAAGGCTGATAATATTTTATCTATAGAAATAGATAATTGTATAATTATCTATTTCTATAGATAAATTGTATAGTTTCCTGATAACAAGCATTGAGTTCAGCATTAACACTGTGTTAATGCTGAACTCAGTGCTTGTTATCAAGAAGCTAATGTGTTATCTGATTTTCTTTCTTATAGTGTTCACATTAAGCTTGACCACTTAGTGATTCAATCAGAATTTAAGATTATTATTTGTTTATTGTGAATTTTGTACAACATAATCGTTATGGTTTACACAATTGCTGAAAGGGTGGAAATAGTAACTCTTTATTTCAGAAATGGTGAGAATGCTCATCTTACTGCAAATTTATTTAATCAATGCTATCCAAACAAACATTGTAATGCAAAATATGTTCTGGAGTTGGTTCAAAAGTTTCAGTTAACGGGTTCTGTGGCTAACAAAAAACGTGCTCCCCAGACATGAACGTCCAGTAAGAAACGAAGCGACAGAGATTGGGATTTTGGGGCAAGTTGCTGCAGATTCAACAAGTACAAGGAAGCTGGAGGCTGTGACTAGCATTAGCAGAACATCTATTCACCAGATCCTCAAAGCTCACAAGTTTCATCCGTACAAAATTAATTTAGCTCATCAATTAAATGAAGATGGTTTTGATTGGCGACAGCAATTTTGTGAAATTACAACAGAAAGGTTAAGAGTTGATGTGGATTATCTTTTTAACATTTGTTTTTCCGACGAGTGCATGTTTTTTTTAAACTCAACAGTTAATCGTCACAATTGTTGATATTGGTCAGATAATAACCCAAGCATATTTCATGAAGTTCATAGCCAAACTCCACAAAAGCTAAATGTGTGGGCTGGAATCTTTGGAGATCGAGTACTTGGCCCCATTTTCCTAGATGGTAATCTAATGGGAGAAAGTTGTTTAGATTTACTTGAAAATGTTGTACATCCATTACTTGTTGATATCATCAAACATGACGCCTGATACTTAGAAGACTGCCTTACTTTCTAACAAGATGGAGCCTCCTGCATTATGCAAGACCAAGTACAGAGTTTTTGAACATGGATTTTCCTGGGCATTGGATCAGATGTAGAGGTCATTTAGAATGGCTGGCTAGATCCCAGATCTTAGTCTTCTTGATTTTTTTCTTTGGGAACATTTAAAAAGTAAGATCTATGCAACCAAACCAGGATCTCTTGAAGAATTATGATAAAGAATTGTAGATGAGTGTTCTCAAATAACACCTGAAACTTTCCAAAGTGTAATAAACCGTTTTGAGCAAAATTTGTATTATTGTATGGAGGCTAGTGGTGCTCAATTTGAACATTTATTGAATAGATAACTTTTTTGTTTGTTTTTATAGAAACAAACATTTATTTTTTCCAAAATAAATGTTTGTTTAGTTAATAAAAAATAAATAAATAAATAATAAAAAAATAAATGAGTTTTTAAAATTTTTCCTTGTCTATTGTATTCAGAATTGCAAAAACTTTATTGCAAAAGATGTCCCCCTTGAGAATAAAATCGACCTGTCCAAGCAATTTGCTTAAATACAAATCCAACTATCCAAAAACTCTGCCGTTTCGTTTTCGTTGGCCCACTCTGTTTACCATTTCATATGTGAGAACCTGGACTTCAACAAAATATAATATGATTTTGTCATATATATATATATATATAGGGTAGTAGTTAATAATTATCAATATATATATATATATTGATAATTATTAACTACTACCCTACCTGAGACCATTTCACATGTTCTCGATGATGAAAGCAACGCTTTCTTGCAATCTTTTAACCTTTCAGTCATATGCACAGACTTTAATATAACAATTAACATCCTGTTGAGGGAGTCGCTGCCTATTCAACAAGTTGCCACCTGTTTCTCTGATGGTTACAGTTGTCACCTGGCCTCTAACAGAAGTCATAGCCAACTCCTTAACTCATCATGTTCACACTGTGTCTCCTACTTGGATTAACTTCGTTGCTTTACTTTGGATTAACTTCAAATGGATTTATTTAGTGCCTCTTATTGGATTAATGTCATTACTGAAATAGAATACTGAACTGCCTCCTAATAGAACAAACTTTGTCACCAAACCTGGGACACTTCTAGATTTCATCTCTATTCCCATGCCAGGGAAGTTACCACGTCTACTAGTGGATCCATCAAACTTCAGGTATTTATCATGCACAATATCATGTAAACTCTCTCTCGTGATAATCTATGGTGTGTTGATCAGTTATTTCAACATAGTACAATGTATATATCATGAAATCCTTTTTCTTTTCAAATAAACTGGCATCTGACTGATTCATTTCCAACTCACCATCTCTCTGACCTCTTCCATGAGATTTGTCATCTCTCACACTCCTCCATCCGAAATCTGAGCATCTATGTACACAACCGCTCATATGTAAATAATAATTAGTGACCATAGTTTCTGTGTCTATCCATAATACATAGTAGTATCAGAATCCTGACTTGACATCAACGAAGTGATGCCGAGATTTCAGTCAAGTGGTACAGAAGCATAAGGGGTGCTTTGCACATTGTCACATGTATAATGATCCAAAATGCATCATGATAATTGCAGACAATTGTTGTAAAACTCTAAAAAGATTAATGTGTTATGGATGTGGTAATGTTAGATCTGGCATTGCCAGATTTTTTTCAGGAAGAAAAGGAATATTTTCTGCCACAGATCAAACATTTTTATTACATTGTACAGAACATTGTTTATCGTAACTTACATGCTATTCACTCCTTCTAATATTTCTCTTGTGATTTAACTGCTATTAATAATTTTCCATCCTGTTTTGCAAATTGGTAAAATTGCTTACAAGAGAAATTGTGTACAATCTGTAGTTTCACTTTGATCAGCTCTGGATGGCTCCTGTTTCTAACATATGTTCGTTTATTCTTCATTACTGAAAAAAACCCTTTTTACAAAGTATTAGAGCCTGGAATGCTTAGTAAATATCCTATGACTTTAATTATGCTTGGAGCACCTTTCTTAGAAACTTTAGAAAAAAATACAGCCACTATCAACATTACTACGTTGATAACTTAAACACGATAATAAAACGCCCCTAAACTCACAAAATTCCTCATACAGCTCATCAAGGTTAACAAATCTTGCAATTTTTATATATATCAACAGCATTTTCAAAACTAGAATATCCTACTTGTAAGTACAATATTCTGGGAGTTTTAAAATAAAACCTTTTGATGTGTATGGATGTGAGAGGAAAAAATAAGATGAAAGTGTCTTACAGACAAAAGAAAAAGGTAAGCCATAAAATGTACAAAAAAAACACAAAATTTACATGTAAAACTGAAGAACTGGCAATTCTAGTTAGATCAGACTTGATTTCCATACTGACTTAACTTTAATTACTGACTTAAAAGTTTCTTCTCATTGCCTGCTTTTTTTTTGTGCTTTTCAACTATGAGCAGATGAAAAACACTCCTCTTATGTTGAAGTTCCTTATTTTCTGAATCCAAAAACATTGTCTGCCGTTAACAAAATCTTGAGCAGGAAAACATATCAGATATGTGTTTATTTGTAAATATTCCTAACTCAAAAGAATAAAAATTTACAATTGTAACATAGTTAAATGCAAAAAAAATTATCTGTGATAGGATAGAGCCTCTACAAGCTGGTCAATAGTAGCAGACTATGCAGAAGGATACCTTACTTTTTAAACCTTAATAACTTGCTCATTATGACACATAGTATGAAACTGTTTGGGAATTACATTATTGTATCAAACACTACCTTTGTGCCAAAATTCATCAAAATTGGTGGAGGGACATAGGGTAGTACTCCTTGAAAGTGTTATATAAAGTTTTACATATGCATCTCTTTTTGTTCTGAAGATATTTGGGACAGTCTGACTTTTGACTTTTCCTGTGTATAATTTCTATATTTATTTTTCTTAAATACACTGTGCATTATCATATGATTTTATTTAATTTATATTGATACTCAAATTATTCTATTTCTTCCACCATATAATTATATTCTTGAAAATAAGTATTACTGATATAAAGATTGTTGTATTGTGTTATGTGCTATTCAAATAATTTTCTTGAACATATAATTAGATGCTTTTATGCAATTTATGTATATACTCGTTTTTTCTGCAAAATATTTCAAAAACATTAAATTTTCAGAATGTAATTGACAGTTTACATGCCCAAAATATCCTGTATGATAAGGATAGAATTCCATGCATTTCATGCAAATTTTGTTGAGCAATGATATCATATAGTTTGTCTTGTGTTTGTAGAAGTTGGTCACCGATTACCTCCACGAGTAGTGTTGTTGTCATGCCAGAGGAATGATACCAGACAGCAAAGGAGTCCAATGGTCATTTTACAGAAATATTTACAAGGGTTACAATTACATCGATCATGGAAACAATGTTCAGAGTGCGTGGTGAAGTAAAAGTCCAAACAGAAGCAAGTCGACCCAGAAAAGTGAGTTAGCCTCAGTCCTGACATCACATAGGTTGGGGATGGTGGTCAAGCACCATGTTGCTAACCACCGCAGTACCTTCTTCCTAGTGTAAATGATATTGTGTGGCTAACAAAAACATGCCTGGAATTGGATGTTCTTCCTGATGAGCACATGTGATCTTGGTTTCAGTTTCTTGTTTTGAGTACGTTGTGCCTGGTGACTTAGGTCATGTATGTCTGTTGAACGAGAAACTTGTCCCATGTCTGTCTCTTGGTTGTCATTCGTTGGTGTTCTATCACTTTGGGAAAGGTGTTCGACTAAAGAGTAAGCTGGTTTAAGTCTATCTATAGAGATAACTCTCTTTTTGGCATATATGGACTTTGAAAACTTGTCTGTCCGCTGCAGTACAGGGAAGGGTTTGTCATATGGTGGCTGCAGCTATGGTCGTACAGCATTGTGCCACTCAAAAATGTGAGTGCAGCACTATAGGTCCTGAGGGTTGAATATTTTCTTTGCACCATGGCATCCTGTTGGCATTGGTGTTAGTTGATGCATTATCTCTTTGAGCTGTTGGACAAAAGTTGCTGTGGTGTTTGAGTGCTCTGAGTGTGGGGTAAGGGCAGAAAATGTCAGGGTACTTTTCCAAGATACTCTGGTATGCCAAGCTGGCTATCAGTGTTACTTGGGTAATTTTCATCTCTGTCTTTTTACATGTGGTGGATAGGTTTGTAAATAAATTGCGGAGACATGTGCCTTTTAGGTCAATTAGCAATTTGTAGTGCCGCAGAAAATTGATGCCTATAATTGCTACTAAAATTGATGCCTATAATTGATACATTCATACTAGCCGACGTTAGTAAGCTATAATTGGCTTACTAACGTCGGCTAGTATGAATGGCCACTGGAAACAGTGGCGGAGATTAAGCTCAAGTGTGACTAAATTGGTACTGTACATTTGTATTGGTGTATCATTTGCCAAATAGAGCCTCACAGTGTAGGATCATTCCGCATGCCTTTCCTTGAGAAAGGCAAAATGCACATATTGCTTCTGCTATCTACCAGGTACTCATGGTTAGAAGTTGGGTCAAAGATGAATAAATGGCTCTTATTATTGGGTCTGAAATCGCAGCAGGCTGTTTCATGCGATTTCCTTAGGGTTTCTCGACTGGTGAAAAGAGCATGGGGAGCAGCAGCTTTTTGCCTCTCTCCCGTATTTCTGATGATATCAACACTGGTTGTTAGCATCACCTTTTGGCATCTTTGAGTGCTGCTGCCAGTGTTTTCTTCCCTGTCAAGCTTTTTCCTGAGAGTGGGATAATTGTTCAATTCTCTGACTTAAAGATTTTACCTGTGTCTGGAGCTTGTTTAACTGGTTTTGGGTATTATCTAAGCTCTTTTGAACTTCATTTACACTCACATACATTACTTTGTCTATTTTGTCAGCCATGGTAGTAGCTAAGTTTTCTAAGCTGTTGTCAGAGACTGCCAGGATCTCCTGAGTCTGTTGCGGCAGTTGCTGTAGCCATAAAGTTTTTAGGAAATCTTCCCCCAATTTGTTGTTGCTAATTGCCTCATTTTTCTCAGTAAATGGGGTGGTTTTTTTTTGTTTCCCAATGCGATGTCCGAGAGTAGCGCTTTGATTTGCCTCTGCTCCAAATCTGAGAAATCGGCAAGCAGTCTGGCCTTAAGCGTGTTATAATGGCTTTTGGCCAGTGGATTGAGAATGATGTCATATAGTTCAAAATATTGGAATTGAGAGCAGACGACCGAGTAGTATTTGGTAGTCTTTTGTGATACCAGAGATGGCAAACTGGACATCAATATTCGCAAACCAAACTCTGGGGTCTTGAACCAAAATGGGGGTAATCTGAGGACCACTCAGTTCATTTTGGCAGTGGGTTTGGGCTTTGTCATCTTAGTCTCAGCTGCTTGACCAGTGTGGAGGGAAAAAAGAGGCCTACTTGGATTCTTGTATATGAAGTCTGGAATTTGAGTTTTGGATCAGTCGGCATCGCTGGAATCACATCCAGATACTATGTTGCAGAGGTCACATCTGGGTCACCAGTGAGGAGGCCATGTCTCTTGAGAAGAAAATCGGTTAACTTGGTCACCGATTACATCCACGAGTAGTGTCATCATCGTGCTGGAGGAATGATACCCGACAACGAGAGTCCAATGGTAATTGTCATGAGTTCATTTTACAGAAATATATACAGGGTACAAGAGTTACATTACATCAACTGTGGAAACAATATTCGGATTGCGCAGTGAGGTGAAAGTTCGAACAGAAGCATGTGGACCCAGAAAAGTGAGTTAGCCTCAATCCTGATGTCACATAGGTTGGGGACAGTGGTCAAGTGGTGTGTTGCTAACCGCTACAGGTTCTTTAGCAGGCTAGTATTTATTTCTTATAAACACAGAAATACAACACAAAAGCTTGCTTATAGTTTTTAAATGAGAATTTGCCAAAAATGAATTTTCTGAAAACTTCATTATCAATCTGAAAGTGAAATAATTAAATTAATCAGAATCATCCATCATCTCTTATATAAGTGAATCAAATTTATCATTTTATTAATTAGTATAAAAATAACCTTGTAAAACTCCAGTTTTGTTTATGATTTGGCTTTAATATTTATATTTTATAAAGAAATAAAATAACAAAAGTAAAAAATTTATAATTTAGGTGGCTGCAGCACCTTGGTGGCTTCCTGTAGAAGGTGCAGATTGGCAACATCCAGAAGGTAAAGATTCTACAATAAAAGACAGGTAAATTAATATTTGAAATCAGGAAAACTCATTTTAAAAACTTATTCTTTAATGATTATTTTTATTTAAAAAATTAATAGAATGGATCATCCTGTTATTCATGTGTCTTGGAATGATGCCATTACATATTGTAAATGGTTAGGAAAAAGACTTCCAACTGAAGCAGAATGGGAATTTGCTTGTAGAGGAGGATTACATGATAGGTATAACTATTTGCTTAATTTTAAAGTTCCTAGTTTTTAGCTTATCAAAATTTTTCATGTTCATAATGACAGATAAACTTCTTTTAAAAAAGTTTTTGAATGAATGAAAAGCAATCAATTTTGAAATATTGACATTATTGTGAAGTAAAATGTAAAAGATTTCAATGAATTAGCTTATTATTCAAAAGTAGTATATGAGGTAAATTAATAATGGCCATATCATTGCCATTTGAAGCAGTATTGAAAACAAGTTAATACTTTCTAAGTAAACATTTTTTGAAATAAATTATATATGCAATTTATTTCAGGTAATTTTGAAGTGGTGTGGTGATGGTGTTATATCATCAATCTGGAATCTTGTCTTGCTTCTTTAAGGCTTTGTTCTATGTATGCATTCTAGAATTTTCTATTTATTGGATCATGTGCTGGATTTGGAAAAGGATGAAGGATGTGTTGTTGTATTGTTCTAGATAAGCAAAATTGCACATAGATAAGTGCAAGTGACAAATTGAGTACCATTAATGAGAAATTGATAAGTTATAATTGAGAAGAATCAAGGTCATTGTTCCTATGAGTTTACTAAGTTGTTGAACCTTTTAATCTCTTTGATCTCTATAATAATGAAGAAGCGAGACAAGTTGCTTTATTATTGTCTCTGGTAAAAAAATTTCATTCAGAAGGAAACTGGATAAATTAATATCTATTATAGGAACTTTATATTCCTTCAATGAGTGATTTATGTCCATGCATATTTATGCGATATGTCTGGGACAAAGTGCCTAGTTAATATACTTTTTTCCTGCTTTTTCTTTGTTTTAATAAGTAAATAGTAATACAGTAGAGCATCAATTATCCAAATCAATTTGGGACCAGGTTGTTTGGAAAATTGATTTTTCAGATAACCTATTATGTACGAAAAAATATATATTAACCTATCCCTTGTTGAAATTCGTTCAAATCCTGGCACACCAACAAAAGTAATAGTAGCCCAAGACATAGCCGAAGATTGCAGACAATTGCAGTATGGAAATTTAAATTTGCCAACTGGAAAGCTTTCGGTTAATTAATAATTGGTTATAGGTTTGTAGAAAGTTTATTATTGTATTCTTCCAGCGTGTGTCGATTATTTATATGAACATAGTTATAATATCAGAAAGGAGTTTAAAGCAACAATTTTGTCCCAAATGGTGCAAACACAAGGCTCTGTAGTCAGATGGAATGAGGCAGCCATAATCAAACCTTTATCTTCCCCATCTTTGGCAATGACCACTGAAAAGATTCAGATTTATAAGAGTAAACTGCAGGAAGGCTGTTTGAATGTGAGGGATGCCGAAAGTCTTTCTTCTGCATGGAAGTTTATGGTTAAAAAATTTGCTAAGAACTTTAACCAGTTAAAATAGTAATTTTGTTAGAGGTGTTATGTTGTTTGTTAGTATTAGTATTTCTTAATACTTATATGTACATATTTTTTATTTTTTATGTTATTCCGTTGGTTATTTAATTTTTTAATTTGAATTTTGTATTCTATTAATGAAATGCTTTAGTTCCAATTTCGTTCTAAACCTGAGGGTGGCCTGTAAATCAGGCTGAAAATGTTTGTTTTTGAAATAAATATATTTCTCGGCAAGGATAAGATGTTATTTGTGTGCACAACTCCATTGAAACTGAAAAAAACAGTGATTATCACCTTGACATTGGATCGAGACTATTGTGCTTTTTTCAAGCGTGGAAATCTCTTGCTAACCCACTGTGGTGATTGAACTTTTGTCTCAATGTTGTAGCTGTAAACTCAACTCTTGTCACCCATTATGATCTTTTGTATGAATGTTTGTTTCATCATCATTGGCTTGTTGAAGGAGTTCCAGGCAACCATCCATTTGATTTTCCTTCTGCAGTTCAGTCATCAAACAAGGAAAAAATTTTGCTAAAACTCATTGCATGTTCAATTTTTTCATTAAAATGTTATGGCACGATTCTGTTGAGATCCCAACCTTTTTTACAAGTTCTTTGACGTCAGATGACGATTTGCATGCACCAGATCCTTGATTTTCTCAATGTGAGTCTCATCAGTTGAGTTCAAAGATCTTCCTGGTTGAGGATCATCTTCAACTGATTGATGACCACTTTTGAATTGGGTCACCATTTGTAACACAACATACGACCTAGAGCAGGGGTTGGCAACCTTTTGAGTCGGAAGAGCCAAAAATTACAATTTACAAAATTTCAAAGTTTTTAAAGAGCCACAAAATTTATTTTTGCCAACAATAAATAGTACTTGCATAAATAAAGTTTTTTGAAAAAACTAATCTATTTATTCAGAATTGTCTTGCGTCGAAAGCGAATTAAACCTCATAGAAACATCCGACGACGACGTCATTCGAGAGCTTCCAATGGACTGGCGACAGTGACAACGTGTGTCACGGGGAGGGGTGCGATGAAAAGCGAGTACAAGTGGCTGAGAGATAGAATCGGTGCCTAATCCTCATTAATCGATTCAGAACGATTTTTAAATGGTTTTTTTTGATAAAATAAATAATATTTGCGTATGGAACTAAAGAGCCGTAGCTTCACATCCAAAGAGCCGCATGTGGCTAGCGAGCCACAGGTTGCCGACCTCTGACCTAGAGCATTGCCTCCATAAGCTTGATTCAAAAGTTGAAATGTTTCTGTAAAAGTTTTTCCCAGTTTCATGCAAAACTTCACATTGCATTGTTTCTCTTGTAAATTGCAAAAATTGCCATTAACACTGAAACAGTTTTCACTCAAAAAACAGTAATGCGAGAACAAAACAAGATATCAACAATTCATAAAAAAGCAGCTTACTTGGTAGATTATCACAAATGTAATGTTGCCAACCTCATGACGCTAAGACACTCTGTTTCTGTCAAATTCAAAAAGTTTGGTTATTTTTGAACTGACCCTATATGTACAGTATGTACTTGTGAGATGGGCTTGAAAAAATTTTTATCAGGATATTCCAAGGACTTGGTTGCCTGAAACTACTTGAGAAACTGATTCTTAATGTAATTAGTGAACTCCAATAAAGCAGTTTCTTAAGTTTTTAATTAAGAAATTGGAGTTTTATTTATTATTTGTATCAAAAGCTATTCACAACAAATGAAAATGTTAATTACTGAAAATTTGTGTTCATAAATTATAACTTTTTAAAGAAATGTTGATCTTTTGTTATTTATTTTACAATAAATTCATAAACTGATTCTGTTAAAATGTTTAACTTACTAAAGGCTAAAGATAAAAATTATTATTATTATTTTTGAGAATTATTATATATATATATATATATATATTTGTATAGACAAAGTTACAAAGTTTTCAGTACTGAATTCATATAAAAACTACTAAGAAATGATGATTGTTGCAAGTAGATGTTATAAATATTGTCTGTATATATGTAATGTTATATGTAACAGTTTTAAGATGATTTTATTTAGATGATTCAGATATGAAATCTTCCTGACATAGCTCAAATTTGGATGATTGTACAGACTTATCACATCTTGTAAGTTAAGTGATGAAATGGAGTCAGAGATCAAGTTCAAAAATATATGCTTTATTAGTATTGAAAATCCATTTTAGTCTTGTAGTCCCAATCAGTCCAAACATTTTTTATAATACATATATATTTCTGTGAAAAAGAATTATATATTTTACAAAAAGGGAAATTAATTAGAAAAATGTGATAATAATAATAATAAATATTTTTTCATGCTATTTTTTGCATTTAACTATATTAATAATTTAGAACTTTAAAATTATTATTATTATTATTAATTAAAATATATTTCAAAATGTAAAATTAGATTTTTACTAAAATATCAATATATAAAATATTTTATATTCATTTGTTTTTAATAATTTCTTTAATAGATTGTTCCCTTGGGGTAATAAATTAATGCCCAAAAATAAACATTACGCTAATATTTGGCAAGGAAAATTTCCAGAAGAAAATACTAAAGATGATGGTTATTTTGGAACTGCCCCAGTAAGTTTTTAAAATCGTAAAACACGTACTGTACATTGTGTTCGCTTTAACATTTATCCAACAAAACAGATCTTTCTAAGATTGTATGAGTATATACATATGATTCATTAGTTTCATTGCAATGTTTATACAGTAGAGCGTCGTTTATCTGAAAGCCGGTTATCCGAAACATCGGTTAACTGAAAGCATTCCAGTCGGCAATTTTAAATATTTGCTAGTGCTGTGGCACTGCAATCTTTGGCTATATCTTGGGCTACTCCAATATTTTTTTTGTTGGTATGTGTGTTTTAGCTGGCAACACTCGCACTTTTGTGTGGTGTTTTTCTGAGGACAGTGCGTTGTGCTGAATCGAACGTTTTTGATACTAGATCAACTTCTAAAGTATATTTTTTTTGTTTTTATATTTTTCAATATATTTATTTTGTTTGTAAAAAATAAGGAAATAATTTTTAACGATACAATAGCCACGATTATTATTTTAAAAAGTTTTCGTTAGGCTTAACATCGACGAAAATTCAACGCGAAGCGACATGCAACGGAGAAAAATTTCAACACGGGATAGGTTAATATATTTTTTCGTACATAATCGGTTATCTGAAAAATAAGTTATCCAAACAATCTTGGTCCCCAATTGATTCGGATAAACGACGCTGTACTGTAATAAAACAATTCATTCAGAAAAGGACATTGCACAATGGTTCTGTGCAGTAATACAAATTTTTCAAATGAGAATGAGATGCAAATTAAAAATGCATTCTTGATAAACAATGGTGACATATTGATGATGGCATTTTTATAAAAGATCTGACAGTGTGCAGGCCACTAATTGGTAAAACACACTGTGAGAATGCCTTATATTCATAAACACTATTGCAAAATGATTATACTTTATTGAGAAATGAGACAAAATATATAAGAAGCAGTGCACAGATTCTATGAGTATTTTACAGCTGCACAAAGATCTATTCTGAACATAATATGCCACTTGAAACAAACTGATAGCACAGTCAGATTGCAATACTGGTTGCCTTGTCTTCATTACATCAAAGTTTTGGCATACTTTCACACACACAAGCATTTTATGTATGAAAGTACCTAGAACAGACCATCACTGAAAGCAGCTGTCACTGGTCATGTGAAGTTCATACATTGTTGGAAAACAAAAATTTCTATCATGCTCTACTGAACTGCATAATGACTAATAGTTTCCAACTCTTCTATAGAACATAATCTTCTAACTTCTTAGAAGGCATCATCGTCATTATTATTCATCTGGTACTTTGTATTTGAGGTAAACAGGCACAAAGTTCCTGCACCCAGCACCCACTGACTTATTATACATTATATCTAAATTATTGACATTATGACTTTCTATTGAACTTTTTATGTATTATTATTATTTCTTTTGTAATTGCAATATTCTTACCATCTAAGTTGTATTTCAGATGTTTTCTGTTGTGTAAAATTTTATTCTAATTCTTATTTTATTGTCATGCATCATTTTGTTCTCTGTAACCTTTACAATGTCCTTCATTTTTCATATTTTGTTTTATGTTGTGGATTTTTTTGTATATGCATAGAATAACAATTATATTTTGTCATAATTATGTAATTTCAGTTCTATTTTGGTAAAATTTGATTATCATTGTTAATCATATGTTATAAATATGTTTACATCTTGTTTACTTTTTGTATTCCATTCCAATTTTGGATTGGATTTTGTAAATATTATTTGTTTTAAATAAAGACTGGGTAAGAACACTAAAACAATTACTAAATAGAAAAGTACTGTACATGTTTTAAGTTATAATACTGCATTTATTTAAGATCTTCAAAATTTTTAAATAACAAAAATATATTTACTAATATAAAACTCTAAATGAATTTAAAAAAAAAAATTAATAAATTTAATGGAAACTGTAAATTATTGTGATTGTAATTATTTAATTTAAAAACAATTCATTTAGAACATCAGAATGATGATAATCTAAAGAAAATATGCAAAGTAAAAGGATAACTCTCTTCTAATACTGAAGTCAAAGACTATATTTTTTGCATACTTAAAAAATATGAATTTGGCATTAGAAAATTATTGTTAATTCTTCATTTTGCATGCATCATGTATGAAATTAAGTAAATTAAGAAATCAAATGTTTAAATTTATTTTTCTTATACAGGGTGTCCATAGTGTATGCAATTTAAAAAATTAATAACTATTAGTATTTGTGATAGAGAAATTATGTGGAATGTATTGGAAATAAGAAAATCTATATATTTTTAATTATTTTATATTTTATTAAGTTTCCATATGTCCACCATCATTAGTAATACAAAGGGTAATATGATTTTGTAGTTCTCTAAAGTTTAAAGTTTCAAAAAATTGTTAAATTATTGTGTTGAAGAGTTACTAAATAATTTTACTTAAACTATGTACATTAAGCTTTCTAATACTTTTTACAGACGTTTTCTATCACAAATACTAATAGTTATAAATTTTTTAAATTGCACACGGACTTTATGGACATCCCGTATTACAATCCTTTCAAATATTTAAGAATCTGTATTAAGTTTTAAATTTTTTCTGGATATTTATGTTTAGGTTACATCATTTCCTTCTAATAAATATGAATTAAAAAATATGGTTGGAAATGTTTGGGAATGGACAGCAGATTGGTGGACAAATCAGCATTCTGCAAAGCATCAGAAAAATCCTGTAAGTAATAATGACATTCAGAAATATGTTTGTAATAAAATAAAATTACAATACAAAACTTTATATATTTTGTCTAAAAATTTAAATATTTATATTATAGTCTGGACCAACTCAGGGTAAAGATAAAGTAAAGAAGGGAGGTTCTTATATGTGCCATGAAGTAATAAGTAATTTTAATTATTAGCATAATTTTAGTAATATAAGTTTCTGAAGATTTTTTTTAACTATCTTTAATAAAAAAATCTTAATTGTAAACTTGAAAAGAAATTATTATTTTCTAACTATTATTACTAAAAGATAAATAAAAAATATTTTCATACTTTTAGTTAATTAAGAATAACATTTTTGTTATTTTTCATATTTATTATCTATATTTTGTTAAACACCAATGTGCAAATATTTTATATTTGCACATTGGTGTTTAAGCTAGTTTTGAAACATTAAATGAAAATACTGTATCTTGTAAGGATAAAATATTGAATTAATTTGAATTGTATGTATACTTATATCTCATTCAAGTCTTCAATCATCAAATAAAATATTATTTTCAGATAGCAGCAAACCTCTTAAGCTTCTACAGAATATAGAGCAAACTCTTGTGATTTGCTCTAATTCTGGTTTTTTTTTGTCTTTTTTTTGTGGAAGCTTAATTAAGAAGTGTCTAATGTTGGTGAAGTACTTTTATTAAAATAAACATATAAAGAGAGGACATGGTTATGGTTGTTTCAGATTTTGATAACATTGTGATTGTACATCAAAGATAATTGATCGATGTTTCAGTTTTCATCCAGTGAGTCTTAAGTATGATTTATATTGGATATGAAGGGAAAGAAAGCAAAGAGAGCAAATGAGGTGAGCAAAGCAATCACACTATATCTATTTTCTAGTATCTATTTCCCTTCCAATCCTTAGCCTTTTCATTTTATATATAACATAACTCTCTCTACATCTTCTCTCAATTTCCTTACCCAATTTCCGTCTCTATCATTTCAATTTCCTTTTCTCCTCTTTTCATAATAATAGCCTTGGTTCTCTTCTCAGTTTCTTAATCTTATTAAAACTATCTTTTTTGATTTTCCTCCATGTCTTACTAATCAACCCTCCAATCTTTCTCTTTACTATCGCCCATCTTTCACCTGTAATGTTTCCACTTTCTTCTTCTAGCAATTTTTTAACATTACTCTTAAATTCCACATTCTCTAAAGTTTCTTTTGTAATTCTAATATTTTTCTTAATTCTCTCCTGTATTCCTATTGCTATTTCAACCTCTACCATCTTGTGATCAGATAGCTTAACTTGATTTCCCTGATTACCCAGATTATAATTAACAATACTCTCAATATTATAATTTTCTATATTAGTATAAATTCTATCCAGTCTTTCCTTTACATTTTCTCTCTCCCATGTAAACCCAGGGGAACTGGGACTAACACTCCGAAAAATATCATTAAGATTAAAATCTTCTAAGACCAGAGATAAAATCTTTCTAGAACCATCAGAAAAGATGCGTATTCTTATCTAATGCTGTCATAACATTATTAAAATCCCCAAACGGTACAATTTATCTACTGATAAAAAACAATTTAGACCATTAAAGAATTCCTTTCTCAGACTCGCGTAGGTGCATAAATATTTAAAATTCTCAAAAAATAATCACTCACTGTAAATCGACAGCAAGAATTCTTTCCTTTGAGTCCGTATGATAAAGGTACAGGACTTTCAAAGTCCTGTACCTTTATCGTATTCTTTATCATCGTCACAATGCCAGTACTCCTTCTTATGGCAAATGACACATAAATATTATAGTTAGAGAACAATTTCCTCAGTTCCCTTAAATCCAAAAAGTTTCTAATATTAGTATCCTGAAATCCCAGGATAATCTATCTCTTGCACTTGCACTAAGTTTGCCAAAAATATTTGCTTATACTTATTCCAGAGATATTAACAAAGTTTATCTTTAGTTTTCTATCCATTACCAGTTCTTGTTTGGGTTTTTCCTTATCTCTTTTTTCCTCTCATTTTCCTTTTTATTTCTCCCTCGTTTTCTAGTTATTCTATCCATTTCCACTTCATCTTCCTTATCTCTTTTCTGTTGATTTTCCTTATTAACTTTCTCATTTTGTATTTTTCTCTTTTATGTTTCCTAATTTAATTTCTTTTCATATAACTATCTCATTCTGGTTTTCTCTTTCACTTTCCTTCTCTTGTTCCTTTTCACTTTCTATTCTTTTTCCTTCATCCTTATCTTCTTGTTTCCTGTCAGCTTTTCTTGTTTTATTAGCTTTCCCTTTTTCAACATTTTTACTTCAAATTCTTGGAAATCCACATTTAACAATTTCCAAGAAGGTAAGTTTTCTGCAATTATCCGTATGTTCTTTCAGACACAATGGACACTTCAAACACTCTTTTATCAAGTGTGTCATTTCTCCACATCTATGACAGCTTTTAATTACACATTCACATGCTTTGTGGTCATATTTACCACATTTCCTGCATTGTTCTTTTAACCCAAGATAATAGTCTTGAATTCTTTTACCAGAAATTTCAATAAAATTCGGTATCCTTTGTCTGGTCTCTATTATTATTAAATAAGTTCCATTTTTAATTTTAAGTTCTCCTGGATGGTATTTCAGGTTGACTTTGATCACTTTTCCATAATGTCTCATTGCTTTCTTTATCAAAAACTCATCAAACTCTGATGGCACATACTTCAAAGTTATACTTACTAATTCTGCTTCGACGCTCTCTATCAAATAAAACTTTTCATTTATTGTTATTTCCTCTCCAACTAATTTCTCCTTAGCTTCTACTGATGACAAGCCAATTTCTATTACATTGCCAGGTTGATAATACATCTGTTCCACTAATCCAGTGATTTCTAGCTTCAAGTTAATTGCATGAACAAAGTCTCTTACTTCAATCTTCTCTTCCACTCGAATTCTTACTGACTTAATTTTCTTACATTCACCAAGCTTTTCTATCTCAGGTGACTCCTCTATATTTTCTTCACCAAACCTGACTTCTTCTGAATCATCAGCCAGTTCTTGCATTGTCTCTTGTGCAGCTACTATCCCAGAGACTACTGCATGACTCATCCGGATCAGTCCATGGCTCCATTCAGCAAATTCTTGAAAATCCAAAGTCGTTGATAATGAACCCAGGTTAAAACCAACAATGTAGGTAGCCTCGGCACACCCACGAACAAGAAAGACCCCCTTATTCCCAGCCAAAACTTAAATAAAACTGAAGTGAACTTACGAAGTTCCTGTGCTGGAGTGGACTTCCCACACTATTTTATTCGACACCCTTGGTTCATATGGAGATTACTGCCTTAATTAAATGCTTTTTCTCTGAGAGACGTTTATTGATCGCTATGTGACCGAAGAGCTAGCTGCATCAAACGGCCTATACGCGCGCGCGGGAAAGAATGTCTTCCGGGAGGACTTTTATGGGGAACTGGCCTCCTATTCAGTCGTTATTGGCAGGGAGGAAACCTGGAAAACTCCTTGCAGTCAGCTTGTCCGATCGCGGTGCGAGCCCACGACCGAACTTCCCAGTGTTCAGGGTTAAGTCCACCCCAAGTGTGGGGACGAGGACCGCTCGGCCACTGGTGGGCCCTCTTCCCACACTCGCTTCAACTTAACTCCTTTATAGCATCGACATCGGACTCAATGACCAATTAGTGCTTACTGAACCGTAGCACTATGCAAATGTGATGTGGCGTGATTCCCGGCCGACCAATTAGCCATCACCAGCCGTAACGTTATGCAAAGCTGTGATTCCCAAGCCATAGTCTTATGCAAATCATGCCGTATGGCGTGATTGTCTGCTGACCAATCAGTGGTTGTACTTTCAAAAAGCCAATGGCCATTTTCAATCATCTTTCAATGACTTAGGAGTAAAAAAAAAACTTTGTTACATCTTACTTTCGGGGGAGCCTTATATTTAGCAATTCAGCAAAACCTCTGCTAGGTCTTATTTTCGAGAAAACATGGTATAATGAGAATGTTACTGACGAAGCGCATCATGCATTAAAATCTTTAGAGAACAATTCTGGCAAGATTTTTTTAGACAAAAACAATCAGAAATTACGACACTAGACCAGTGTTTTTCAAACTTCTTGAATAAGTGACCCCTTTACAAGTTAAAAAATTCTGGCAACCCCCAGGGCCATATTAAAACTATGTCAGTGATTTTAAAAAGTACGTTTTAAGTTTCCTTCTGTTGAGACCTAAATATCGATCAAAAAACCAATGTACTGTAAAATAAACAGCCTTATCACTGAGATTGTAGGTTTTTTTATTGTAGTGTAGGACCTACAAACACTTTTCTTTTTCTTTTACCTGCGACTCCCTGTGTAAGGCTTTGCGACCCCCTGGAGGTCGCGACCCACAGGTTGAAAAACACTGCACTAGACATTATTTTGTAACAACGATGTTTTTCGTTTTGCATTTTCCCCCTGCTTTTATAATTATATATACATATGAAGTTTGTATTTTTTGTCTACGACGGAGTTAACTTAACGTCCGGACCCGAGTTAACTAGGGCAGGTTACATAGCGGTACAGAAAATGCGGTTCTTTCGGCCCCCAATTTTTTTGATTTTTGGAATGCTTTTTAAGTCTCCAAATTTTTTCAAAAATTTTTACCCGCGCAAAAAAATTTTATCGCGATTTTAATCAACCTTTAATGACGCGCGATTAACACTTAATTGTTTTTTAATGCGATTTTTTTATCAAAATTAGTTAATCGTTCTAAAGTTGTAGTGCATGGATTTGACTTCGGTAAAGTTATTTAAAGCTACTTTCTGATGTCAAAAACGACCTCCAATAGTTTTTTAATTTTTTAATTAATATATTTTATTATATATAAGTTTAATTAAATCGGGGGGTCGGAAATCGCAATTAAAATTTTAATTATTTAAAAATATACCGCCCGCTAGCATTCACCCTACTTTAAACCCTTGTCCTCCCGAGACGTCTATGAGAATGCCCCGGGAAATCGGACTCCAGCTGTTCTCAAGGTCATCCAGCTGTGTAAACAATGACTCATCAGTGTCAAATTTCACAGAAAGGCGAGACAAAGGAAGTTAAACTTTGAAGCTTTTTCTTCAAAATTAACGCATTTCTTTCGTTTTTTTTCAGTTTTAAGTATTTTTTATGTTTAATTAAAAATTCCTTTAAAACATTCGTATGGCAAGTGGTTAATAGGACGTATTACACTGGTGTTTTGGCTTTAGCAATCGAGGAATAAATCTTATACAGATATAATACAAGGTGATCAATAAGGATTGTTTCTCTGAATAAGATTTTTTCCTGGATTGCTATAGCCAAAACACCAATGTAATACGTCCTATTAATAGGCTAAGTCCTCGTAGTCAAAATATATAACAAATAGAAAATAAGGACATAGAGGCATATAAATTAAATAAAGTTTGTTTATTTCCATAGCATATTTATGTTACTGTGTCAATAAATGCATGGAAAAATTTTACTTTTGTTTAATCTCTAACTCAATTTTCTATTTGTCGAAATTTTTCATTGTACAAATGAAAGAACTTCGACTATATAAGAAAGTTTAGAACATCACAATTTATTAAATTAAATTGTTTTAATGGTAATAGAATTTTTATTCAATTTAATGGTTCTCGGTGATGATGGAATTAACTTGAAATTGCTCAAATATTCTGTTTCTAGTTTTATCCCATAAAAATAATTTGGTTTTGAGAAAATAAAATTTTTAAAGAGCGATTTTATTTTTCAGAAATTCTGTTATCGCTACAGATGTGCAGCTAGAAGTCAAAACACGCCAGATTCGTCTGCTAGTAATTTAGGATTTCGATGCGCAGCAGATGTTTCCTAATTAAATTTTATAAATAAATGTTTTTAAATATAAAATGAAACAACGTTTTAGTAAATAAATAAATACTGTTTGAGTTGTATTATTGTTATGTATTGCACAATTTTTATAAGCAGATGTAAGGTTTGCCGACCGGGGAGTCTATCAGGATCGTCGCGCGGTCACGAGTGGCAATAACTCTCTGAAACAAGCATTCCGTCTTTTAATCCAGTGTTTTTCAACCTTTTTGAATATGCGACCTCTTTACTAGTTAAAAAATTCTGGCGATCTCCTAGGGCCATATTAAAACTATATCAGTGATTTAAAAAATTATGTATTTAATTTTCTTTCTGTTGAGAGAAATTACTGTTGACTAAAATGAGAATTTAGGGAGAATCGACAATAACTGAAGACACGTATATTATGTTACTTCCTTCTTATAATAACAATGGGTTCGGAGTGCTGTTGACCTTTTTTTTTTTAGGATAAGGGTTTTTTCACTTCTACTTTTCTACTTATTATTTCTCTTTACAAGTCAGCTCAACACTTTTTCGGCAATCATTTTCTGGGGTGGGCCGTACCCACCCAGGCCCAGGCGACACCCATAATTCGGACCTAAATGACAATCAAAAAACCAACTGTACTATATAATAAACAGGTACAGCCTTCTCGCTGAAATTGTAGTTTTTTTAATGTAGTGTAGGACCTACAAACACTTGTCTTTTTGTTTTACCCGCGACCCCTTGTGTAAGGCTTCGCGACCCACAGGTTGAAAAACACTGTTTTAATCCGTTTATTATATACACAAGAGTTTCTTACAACGTTTTGCAAAGTTGCGACGTAACACAGCTCGGGGAGCGAATGAAATGTCCACTCGAGTCCGACGTTCGGTTGGAAGTTCTTTCTGTCCCTTGATGTCGTACGTTGCGATCGACAGCCCCGGGGCGTGCGGCACTACTTCGGGCGAAAGTCTCTGGAGAATGGCGAATCTGGGCGAAGCAAGACGTCACTGGATAGCGACGGTAAGTTTAGGAGTCAACAAATCTATCGCTGTTGATCTGCAGGATCGCAAAAAACTGAAGTGCAGCACCAAGAACCAAGAATGTCACGTTCTTGAATCGCCCTGTATTTATCAGTTTTTCACCCAAAGTCGCCTTTTCATTGGTCTCTCATCGTCACCAGGTGACAATTCGAAACCTGTTGGAGGGCGCGAGAGAGGTCAACGTCGCGACTAAACCCGACTCCTATCCAGCCACGTTTCCCTCCACTTTAGTCTTTTCTATTGTTTTAATAAAAACTTTCACTGTTCAATCGGGACACTTAATTTTCCCTATTCGTGTCTGAAAATGGATCTCTATTTCTCGATAGAGTGGTCACCTTCGGATTTTCAAAGCGGCTTCCGTCTGGTACTTCACACAGATATGTTCCAATAATTTTAGATGAAATATACCTCGAAATTTGTATTATATAGTAGAAAATCTATTAATGCTAAAAATAAATAATAATAATAATACATACTATTCACTACTAATCATAAATGATAAATATATACCTTGTATATATTTTAAAAAAGTATTTTGAATATTTAAGACCAAAATATAGGGGGGAAAAGCCAATCTGTAAAAATAGTTTCATTGATCATAAACTAAATCAACAAAAATGTCTATTTGACGAATAGAATGATCTTATGCAGTGGTGGATGGGACCATCGGGAAATCTCCGGAGGCGTTCCCTTATACTCAGGCGCCGGCATCAGTCCATATAATTCCCGTGCTATTTGAATAAATACAAGGTATGTACAGTACGTTGTAACATTGAATAAAGAAAAGGTACATCTAACAGAGAAAAACAAAACCACTGACAACTATCATAGAAAATTAGGGCATTTGGCAGTGGCGTACCGTAATAGGGGGGCACTTTTTAGGGCGGCAAAATTTCACAATAAATAATAATAATATCTTGTAAAAATTTGAAACATCACAATCTATACTTGCATCGCGCCTACGATAGTGCTATCGTCCGGACAGTCCGGGAATCAGGTCGCCGTCCGGGTGAACTAGTAACTTTTTCATCCGAGGAAATACTGCGAAACCTGTTGACCTTTTTTCCTGCTTGTACGATTCATTCGCTAATATCCAATAGAACTGTTTTAAACAGGTCGCTGCACTACCACCGAATTTTTCATTGCTTGTTCTGTGACAAAACTGAATTTTGGTCTTTTAAATTGAAATACCTAAATAAGGGGAGCCGAAATTTTCCTCCGCCCCGGGCAGCTGACACCCACGGTACGCCACTGGCATTTGGGCGTAAGTAATTTGAAAAAAAATAATCGATTTGTCAAGTGGAATGAATCCGATTAAATTTGATTGTGACTCATTTAATTGAAATTGAATAGACTAGTGACTAGTGATTTGTCTAATTATTATTAATATAATGTTTTACTATATCGCCCAGAAAATTGTTTTTCGCCCCAATATATAAATTGTTACTAATCGCCCTCTCAACATGGAAAAACGCCCACATGGGGGCGATATCGCCCCCGTTGAGAAACACTGGTGTAAATCAAAAGGAATTACACAATGCCATATACTGCACAATTGAATGGGCGAGCAGAAAGGTTAAACAGAACATTATTAGAAAAGGCCGGAGCTCTTATTTTTTATTCTAACTTGAACAATGAAATGTAGAGAGAAGCAATGTACGTGGCTGCATATCTTCTAAATAGAAGTCCTACAGAGATTGTAGAACTATCGAAAAATGGACAAAAACCACCTATCGAATGGATAGGTGGTCTAATGGACCAACACCTATCGAAAAATGGACAAAGTTTTAAACTAGTTCTATCACATTTGCACATGTTTGGCATTAGACCTTTGGCATGTGAAGCACATGCCAAAGGTCTAGGTCACTTGAAGAAACTTGACTATCGAAGTAAGAAATTAACATTTGTAGGATATGCTCCTAATGGATAAGACTATAGGATCACGAGAAAAGGAAGGTGATAGTGTCAAGAGATGTATTTTCTATTATAGAAAAGAAGAATAAAAGAACAGACATAAAATTGGAAGAATTTTGTGAAGAAAATACAGATAAGAAAATACTGTACAGAGCTTGGATAAAGTGGAAGAAATTAAATGACGGAAGAAGAAAATGAAAATCGGATACTGAAGATACTGAAAATCGGAGTGATAAAATTCAAAGCAATAGTCCTTACACGTTGAGAGATAAAGGTAAACTGGGACGACCAAAACATCGTTAAGACTGAAATAAATGATAATCCTGCTTTCTTACGAAGAAGCAGTAAAAATCCTAGCTGAAGAGAACAATTGAAAGGAAAAACAGGCATTTATTAAAAATGAAACCTGGGAACTAGTCGACAAAATCATAGCTGAAGCGACTCAACCTGATAAAAATGTTATTTTGGATGGAAGAAGATTAAATGTGAGTCTGACAATTAGCCGTAAAGTTTTTTTTTTTTTAATTTTTTCCGCCCTGTGGGCACTAAGAGGGCCTCTTTTTGCAAGTCCATTATGGGTTCGGCTAGGCCCACAATGGGGCTGCCGGGTGGTGAGGGACGGGGCTCGACATATCCGAACGGACTATCCCTCGAAAAATTCCTGGGAATTTTCCGACCCGTTCTGTTTCGAGCCCGGGTCCTCCAGAGTGGTAGGCTGCCATCTTGACCACGTGGCCATCCGGCCGCGCCGTAAAGATATTAAAAAATAAAGAAGAAATAAAGAAAAGACAACAGAAATTTGAAGCTCTTAACAGAAGGATTAATAAGGGCTGGTTCTGATGCTGCTAAGGGAGTGACTCAAGCAGATTTGAAAAAAAAAATAGAGCTAGAAACATACAAGAAAAGTTTATTGAAAAATCTCCACTATTTTATTTTACCAGTGAGATTATGTGTTCATAATGTTCCTCCACATATGGATGACAACAAACTGAAGAAAACATTTTGAAAGTTGCTGGACTTCAAGCAAGTAACATGTGCTAAAGTTATGAGAAATCTTAAAGTTCTGGATGAAAAAGGTGTTGATATATCAATAGGATTTGGTTTTGTTGGTTTTACCAGACACGAAGATGCACTTCAAGCATTAAGGAATCTGAATAATAATCCTAAAATCTCTACCCCAAATAAGAGACCCGCAGTGAAATTTTCAGTTGAAAATCAATAGAACAAGTGGCAGATATACTGTATTACTGTATTCGCTGAACTATTAGACCGTATTAAGTTCGAGAAATTTAGAAATATACTTTTTTTGAACCTTGTTAAATGAATTTTAAAATTTATGTCTTGTTAAATGGTTTAATTGAAAAATCATTTGTTTGTACAATTAAAAAGCCTTTTGCAATATTGCTCATAACTATTTTTACTCTAAATTTCTTATATTGTTTTTGATGGTTTTCGGTTGTGTTAATGGTCAAATTTTAATCAAATACTTAAATACAGTATTTTGATACTTATATTTTAAATCTTTCCATGCCTTATCTTTGAAATAACTTCAATTTTTTTTATTCCGTGGTATAAAACGTTTTCGAACAAGTCTTTGATTCTACTTTCTTTGTGAAAAGATTTTGAAGTTTACTTTGTTTTTGCCACAGCGATCTTTGAATTATCATTGGTATATAAATGCCCAAAATCTTTACAATTATTAGAGATGTGCGTTTTATTGCGAAAAACCTCAGCTATCTTAATTAGGGATTACACGTCTGTTTCACATAAGTAAATAATTTTTCTTCAAAGAAGGAATTATAGATATGAATGTTACTAGTCTGTAACTAAGCTGGTGCAATAGATCCACAGGCATGTGGCCCCCTTTTTAACTTAACTCCTTCCTAAAGGGCACTAAAAGGATCTCTTTTAGCATGAGCATACAGGTTCGGCCAAGCCCACAATGGTAGGTCGGGTGGGGAGGGACGGGATGCGACATATCCGAACGAACCACCACCTGAAAAATTCTTGATGCTATTTCGACCCGTCCAGATTCGATCCCGGATCCCCAGAGCGGTAGGCTTCCATCTTGACCGCTCAGCCATCCGGCGGTCATAGTACAGGATCTGGGACGAAGGGAACCTCGAAATGAAACTGACAGAAAGTTGTCAAATGTACTGTAACAGTGGCGTGCCGTGACATTTGATGATAGGGAAGCTGTGTTTCTATAAGAAGCCGACTTCCAGAGGCAATCAGTCAGCAATGGTCTAGGGTCCATTCGTATTCGTTTGTTCGATAAGCCAGTAAAAACCGTAGACTTCTCTAAATGTATTTTTAATTAATAGATTATCTAACGCACTTAATAAATAAGCAAGTTCAATATAATTAACTCTCTTATATTAGATTTAATAGATTCATACGCCTTCTAAATGCCAATTCTCGCTTCGATAACATCTACTAATTAAAATATATCTATTAGCCGTAACTATCTTGTTATAATTTTCAATATATATTTTATATTGTGTACTAATGTTAAATTCTATTCTATTTTGATTTCCAAATTGCTTCAATTTTACGAAAGAATCGATGCGAGATTTAGGATTTTCGTGTCTTTTGCCAGCTTTACTCAAATTATTTAAATCGTCAAAGCCAATCTCATTCTACACACTAATTTTATTTGAAAATAGTAGGCAAGGCCAACAAAACAAATTTTGCATTTTTATGCATCCACAAAGCCATTTTATATCTTCATAAATTTTATCATGAAAATGTCGAACAAATTTTTTCTTTTTCATTATATGGTCTCGAGCCAAAACTTTTTGAAATAAATTTTCGATATCACAATTACATTCTAAATTGCTAGCTATAATATAAGGGCTAAAATTAAAAATAAAATTATAAAAACTTACTTGTTAAAATAAAATGTGTGATGATATACAATTATACATACCTGGTACAAAATATTCAATTGTATGAATATACTTTTAAAGAAAATTATAAATATAGTTTTGTGAAGAAACGTACATAAAAATAACATAAAATAGTCTTTACTTTTTAAATATTAAAACAATCCACCTAGTTAAAATTGCTCCCTACCAGTGGCTCGTGGATGGAATCAGAGACGGTCTTGGTAGGTGTGCGGTGCGGTGCTTGCTTGCCAAATCCCGAGGGTGCCGATACCGGTTAATGTCTCTTTTGTCTCATCACTAGTATATCTCAAAGGACGCGACAGGGTTGTTGTAAATTTTAAACGTTTCTCATCATAGCTGTAAAAATCTAAATTTGTTAAACTTAAAAGTCATTTGTTTTCTAACTACTGTAATTCGTTTTAAGACCAGGTGTCCACGGAAATTTCCAAAATTTACAACTTTTACTCACTTTCATTGAACTGGAAAAATTTCTGTCTTTATTACATCTAATATTACGAAGAAATCAGTCCCACTGTACTCGGCTAGATATTGGTCCGGTTAGGCTTTTGTTTAAGTAAAATTCCGGCTCTTTCATCAGGGTTTTGTTTACGTCCCCAATTCCCTAATCGCTTAATTATTTAACTACTTCTTAAGTAGAAATAAGTCGAAACCAGTTACTTTGTACTCGAATATTTGTAGTCTCGGGAAAAAAGTGGAAAGACAAATTTTTACGACAACGGATACATAAATCGTAAATTTAAGGAAAATAAATTCTAGAGCCTTTTCTGTACCTGGTGCATCTCTCTCATTCATTAAATTTAGTTGTAAATGACGCTGTCGAAGTAACGGTTAATTTTTTAACATTATACAAGAATTGTACACGTTTTTTTCTACATCCCCTTAAAGATGGGATGTACGAAATCGTAATATCACTGGTTTAACATCGAAATCCGTGAGTAATATAAAATCGGAGAGCGGAATAAATATATCAAATATTTTAATGGATTTTTTAAACTCCTGTCAACTATACAGAACTATCGTAAAAACATACCAGTAAATTCTTATCGGTTGGGTTAAGTTATAAATCTACTCGTTATTCACGTAATCGAAATATCTAGTGGGCAGGCGGCTAACAGCCCAGAACCGGTCCTTGATAGAATTGGAATCTTTATATGTGTGCAGCTTTCACCCAAGGTCGTAGGCTTCCACCGGCTAAACCGGGTGAGGTTGGTGCTCTGTAAAGCGCATGCGCAAATCTGGCTTTTCGTAATCTGAAAATACAGGAGATTCCACTCCGCCACTAATATTCTAATATACAATAGCAATTTTTTTTTTCCACGTGTAGTAGAGAAATTTGTAATAAGATACATAATGCGGTTATAATAAAATATTGTGCGATTATTTTCATATAATTAAAATTAATATTTATTTTTTAGAGAATACGAGGGAAGCGGCGCTTCCAACGCTTGTAATGACGGCACGCTACTGTACTGTACTGTAATAATATTTTCGTTTATAAATACACGTAAATGATCGTGTAAGTTTCTTGTATAGACAAAGATTATTTATAAACAACTTTATTATATTTGTTTTATTATTATCATTTCCCCCAAAATTACGGGGAACAAAAAGTTAACTTCGCTCAGTTCAAATGAAAAGCTAGTTACACTTATTCCAAAGTAGAAAAATTCCAAATTTTATCAAAACTAATCTAATTTATATCAAAACATTGTCTGCTGTTAGAAGATGGAATCCAGTGTGATACTTTTTAGTATTTCATACATTAGAAAATTTTATACAGTGCGGTTTACGTCGTGAATTCTTCAAAGATCTTTTTTACGTAAAAGTATTATTTGATATGAAATTACATTCATAACAAAATGCATTACGCTATGCAAGTATGACACGTAGTAAATGAAATAAAGTATTATAATAATTTAGTATATATCACGAAAAAAAAAACAATTCGTAGTACTATCCATCTTTGCACGCATTTTATACGCTCAGTCATATATGTTACAATTAATTTTATTATATACTGAGGTATATGAAATAAAAATTTATTGTAAGCTCATACGAAAAATAAATGTTAGATTAACGTGGTATGATTTTTCTACGCCACACCAAATGACGATACGTCGTATAATATAGGTTATATGTTTCTGTAGATTGGCAACAGTGTAAAGTTGGTGACCCATTCTCTTTATCTTGGTGAAGATCAAGATGGCTGTCTCCTCTGAACGTTTGTGTAACGGATCTATGTCTGATATCGCCTTGATATCACCACAAAATCCGAGCGACAGTGAAGAATCATCGGGTTTGCAATACGAGGTAATGTCATTAAATGCTTGAAATGTTTAAATACTTAACATGCATTATCATATAATAAAAATATTTGCAAAATTATAAATAGGAGTTTAGTGCAGATGAATGCCTATGAAATGCATGATTATCGTATCGCGATGCTTATAAAAATGCCAGTAAATATTGATTTATAAGCGATTAGTCGTTTGTTTAATTTAAAAAATAAAATTCACCAAAAGCAATAATGCATCGAATAGAACTGTAAAAAAAAAAAAACATATATACAATGATTTTGATAGGAAATCACAATGAAATATACACATTTATCATGATTATTTATTTGAATGGAAATATATTATTTAGTAAAGTAATTGTTGATTTTATACATGCAAGTTATTTTTTAAATTTTTTTTTTTACAAAAGTATTTTTTAATGTGATTATAAATATGCACTATTACTTGTGACGTTTAAAAATAATTATATTGTACTTTATATTTATACTGTATTAAGAATTTAAAACATTATTTATATGTTTAATAAAGTTATTGTTAATTTGTAATGTGCTGTTAGAAATCATTAGAGGTGTTTATCAAGTGAAAAACTTGGTGAAAATTTTTAAATAAACTATAAGACAAAGTTATTATAATCTAATAAAATTCCAAATTAATTATGCATATGTGTATATATCAAAGATAAAAATTATTTTGAGTTATAAATGTTATTTATAAAATAAAATATTTAATTAATAATATGAAACTATTTACAATTTTTACGCATATTTAAAACCGAAATATGTAATTCAGCACCTTGATTTTTTCATTAAAATAAAACTACATTATTTGATTGATAAATTCAAAACTTTGAAAAATTATTGTTTAATAATAATGCATTTCTAGAATCTATTTAATTTTGAATAATTTTAGAATATTTTAACAACAATTTTATAATTTTGCATTCAACAATTTTTAATATTTTAAATAATAATTCAAAAATTTCTCAGTTTATTGACTCTTTTGAGATGTATTTTCAATGAAAATGTTAAGTTTTGGAGAAATGTTAAGTTATTTAAAATAAATTGGGTTTCTTTTTAATTTGAAATTAATAATTTTTTATTTGAAATATTTGAAATTAAAAATTATAATGAATTTTTAATTTCAAAATTAAAAATTTATTATAATTGTTTTTGTAATTTTAATAAATAAGTGCTTTAGGCCTGTAATAAGAATTAAGTTTTTAAATTTCTTATTTATACAAAAGATTTACAACTTTTATTAATTAATATATTAATAAAAGTTGTGAATTTTGTATTAATAATTTATTATATCAGCATTAATGTTCTGTAAGGCATTATATTTGGAAATATTCATTATTTTTATTAATAAATTTAAACTTTTGTAATATAATTATTTTAAAACACGTTAGTGTTTAAAACTTTTAAAATAATTTTACATTGAATCTATGGGAATTTTCTTTCAGATAAAGTTTAATTTATGTTTACAAAATTTTTTAGGAATTTGACAATTATAATATTTATAATTGTATATATCAGTGATTCCAACAATAACTAAAGCTAGTTGTCTTTCTGGAATTTGAACATTCCAGACTGGCTTAAAACATAAAAGAAGCTTTTCATTTTGTTTCAAAATATTTTCAGTGTAAGGATATTCAGTCTGAAGTTTTTAAGTGTTAAACAAATAAAAAGTTTTAAGAAAACAGTAACTTAATAAAAAGTTAAAATTTATAAAATTATTTATAAATCAAAGTACAAAGAATAATTTTTAAAACTTGTTGTGATTATTCATATTATTAATTAAATTTGTGTTGAAGTTATCAATGGATTTGTGAAGAAATTACTTGACTTTTGTAAAACAGTTTGATAATTTATTATTTATTTGAAAATAACCTTTAAATTTTTAATTAAAATTAACTAATAAACACAGAAATGAGTTCATCTCTATCAACATAAAAACAAATATATTTATCTTATTTTAAATAAATAAACAGATAACTCTTTTTTATGATTTCTCAACAATTATCGCATTTGGAAAATATGAAAAAATTATTCATCTGATTTAGCATTATAGTAATTTCTATAAAAAGCATATAATAATTAATTATTAGCCAGTAGATAGCAAGTTGACATTAAATTAAACGTTTAGATTGGGATTGTATCATTACAAAATAAAATTTAAAAAAAATTAATATGTAACTTGTATCAATTTCTATAAATCTGTAAAACTAGAATCTGATTTAATTTTTTATAGTAAATATATTGATAACCATGCTTTAGATTTGAATTGTTTATAAATTAGAATTGTTAATGTAAGGTACAACAGTGCATATCAAATTGATTGGCTGGATGACTAAGGCAGTTAAAGGCTAATATCAATTGCTGTTGGATGACCAAGCCCTCAACTCTGATTCCAACTCAGTTTTTGAAGTAAAGTATTTAAAAACATGATTTAACCTGAGCCATTTTGTATGAGTCATTTGACAATAAAAATATGGCTAAAAGAATTCATTTGAATATAAATTTCTGAAAAGTAAATCAACTGTAGTTTAAATAGTGACATGCAAAGAAAGATCATGAAGTAGTGGGATCATCATAGATAATATCTTGTGTTACAGGAGATTATAATGCAAGATAGGAGGTTACCATTACAGTTAGAAGCTTAATATAAAGAACATATTAAAAAAAACAGGAGTCTATCCATTTTTACAGTCTCCAACTCCTCTAGCAACAAATTTGCTTTTGATTGTCTCCACAGCCTCATATTTCAGATTATCATTCTGGGGACATGGAATAAAGTTTGGACAAGCAACTCAAAGTATTACATGGGTAGTTTGTTGTAAATTAAATACTATATATATACAAATACTGTACATGAAATTCCCCTCAACATCAAAGATAACTGATGTGAATAGCTGCTGCCCTGCCATATGACAGCATGGAGTAGTGCATTGGTTTTTACCTTCTCAACATATTAAGTCTAACATTAATATGTCTCAACATATTAATGTTAAACTTAATATATTAATCTTTAATGCATCTGTAGGTGACAATTAATTGATGTAACCTAATGTCAAACATAGGAACTTTTTATCCACTAATTAATTACTCAAAGGGGCTTGAAATTGGTGCCAAATTAATGCTGTTTGTTACTCATATTTTACTTTTAAAGACTGTTGACACTTTCCAACGTTATTGTTGTCTGGTTTGATTGTTTTGGCTACAGTACATTCTGTAGAAATTTTTGTGTACTCATTCCTGTGCAACAATATTTTTATACAATATTAAAAACTGTAAATATATGTTTATTTAATACTGTAATACAACAAAATAAACATGATACAGTACATGACTTTTGTTTGTTCATCTATGTAACACTTTTTGCTCTTTTTATTTTGTTTCCCTGGAATTTTGTTTTGTTACATTTTGCAGTTTTTACCTTGCCATTAATAAAGTGCACACATATATTTTGTTGCAAATGCCATTACACATAAGTTACAAACTTCTAAGGGCATTGGAACACATACATATTGTAATAGCCGAGTCCTAACATTTTGTTTCCCTCTATAATGATGATAATAAATTTTGATGTAAAAGTATCTGACAACTGGTATCTAAAATTTCCTGTTAACTCAGAGGGGCATAACTAACATTGTGGCATTTTCGTGGTACTTTATTTTCAGGAGAATATCTTCAGGATCATTCAAATGCACTCTGCATTGTGCATAAGATCCTCTGCTAGCAGCATAACAAGCAACATAGCTCCTTGTATTTTGGTTATCAAGGATAAATCTTCAAACATTTCTGTGGATTCTTCTTTTCCTGTTGCTGGTGGTGAGTTTGAGTTCAAACACACTGTAAACAAACTTTAAAGTCTAGCAAGAAAAATTTTTTAACAAAAAACTTTTGACAAATATTTTTGACCTTGACCAAGGTCTGTCTCAGGTCTTTAAATTAATGAAATTCCAAATTGGAATGCACAGAACAAAACTTTTTATTAAAAAGTTTTTGTTATTGGACTATAAAAGTTGTTTATTAGGTTGTTCGGAAAGTAATTTCGTTTTTTTTACCACTAGACGGATTAGTTGTATTTTTCCCACCATTTTTATTCTAAACCGTATTATCATTATATATTTTGACAGCTAGCATTTTAAGGCATATTTGTAAAAAATTTTGTTTGATTTTGTGCAATTGTTTATTTTTTGTGTTTCATCAAATATGGAAGATCGAAAGCATCATTTTCGGCATATTTTGCTCTTTTATTACCGAAAAGGTAAGAATGCTGTTCAAGCAAGAAAAATTGTGTGATGTGTATGGAGAGGATGTATTGACAGAATGACAGTGCCAAAACTGGTTTATAAAATTTCGTTGTGGCAATTTCAATATTGAAGATGCACCACGTTCTGGATGGCCAGTTGAAGCCAATGAAAACAAAATAAAGGTACTGATTGAAGCAAAATGCCAAATAACAACACGTGAAATCACTAAGAGATTAAATTTGTCAAATTGAACCATTTATGATTACTTGAAACAAACTTGAAACAAAGGAAATTTTTTTTTTTGGAGCTTTTACCAGACAATTTTAACAATTGATTCGAAAGTGTACTGCTATTGAGGAAACAAATTGAGTAATATCATCAAACAGAAAAGGCGGCCAGAATTGATCAACAAAACAGGTGTAGTGTTTTACCATGATAATGTCAAATTTCACACAAGTTTGGTAATTAGTCAGAAACTGTTATAACTTAGATGGGACTTGCCAACCATACTTGCCTACCATTATCACACTAACCATACTCGCCACATCGAGCACACTCAGATTATTACTTGTTCCGGTCTATACAAGTTTTTTTAACTGTAAGACATTTACTTGAAATGACAATGTCAAAAATCACTTGGATCAGTTTTTTGTAAGCAATGATCAAAACTTTTATGAATGTAAAATCATGCTTCTACCAGAAATGATGACAACAAATATTTGACCAAAATGGTCAATAAATAATTCAACAAAATATTT